GGCCTTCGCCCCTTCAACACCAATCTGATTGGCAAATGCATCACAAAGGAAATTCGTTGCACACATTCTGAAGCCCCCCAAAGCAGAATCAACGCCAAGGCGGCTGCGATGGTCAGCCTTAAACCCTAAACCCTTAAACCGCTAGACCCCTAAATGCTTATACCCTAAGCCCGTAAACCCTAAATCCTTAAACCCTATACCCTCAACCGCTGTCTTCCATTCTCGGGGCCGAGGCTTCATTCGTCTTGCAGCGGGGGGGGCGGGGGTCATGCCAAAAGCAGTCCATCACAAGGGGGCAGAAAGCTAAGAGGGCTAAGAGCCAGTAACAACTCGAGCAAAATCGAGAACGTAATTAGCGAACAACAAGACAAACCTGCTCTGTGAGTAAGTGAGAGGGAAAAAGATGAAAAGAGAGAGAGAGAGAGAGAGAGAGAGTGAGAGAGAGAGAGAGAATGACAAACAGAGCGGAAGAGGAGATGTCTTGGGTTGTGGCATCTTTAATCACAACCCCCCAAACAAAAACCATCCCTGAAATCCTGAGCCTTCACCATAGCGCAGCCCGTGGGGCCATCATCTGGTAGGAATTCGAGCTCAGCGACCGTTGTGTGCCGGGCCAACGCCTGGTGAATTCCATTTGCCAAGCGACACTTCTCTCAGCTCGTCTTCAAATACAGCTGCTAAATTCATTCGAAATCTCCACCTCTTTCCCTAGTATTCCGAAGTAGTCTTCCGAAGTTTGCAGGGGAGCCTCGCCTCACCAAACTTGTCCGCCTCCGTGTTGTTGCACTTGAAATGCAGAAGCCTGAGTCGCTTCAAGCCCGTGTAGTGCGGGATTGCCGCCGCCAAAGCGGAGAGCTGGTCTGGCACCAGCCACGACAGCGTCAGCTCTTTGCAGACTGTCACCTTCTGGAAGAAAATCTTCTCTTGCAAACGGATGACGCTTTCAACATCAGACCTGTGCGTGAACACAGCCTGGTGCATTTGCTCTCTGAAAAGATCCGGGGCCATCGGTACCCGGCCGCCCGGATGTTCAGCACCCTCGGATCCAGGGCCAATGCGCTGGTGCATGGACGAATCACTCCTCGTTGATGACCATTCAATTTCAGCCATACACCAGCCCCGCTGCAGGTAAGGATTCGAGTTTGGAGTTAAGCACCGCAAGGGGCGTGGTTCGACTGCGCTGGTCTCTTCGCGGTAAACTGGCACACTCTCATCCAGCATGGTGTTCCAAACATCTTGTGGGGTGAGACTCTCGATTCGAAACGTATGCGTGGAATCGTGTGCATAAAGCATGTGCATGGCATTCATTGAGCGCCTGAAGCTCTCATTTTGGGCTTCAGTTTGCCGCTTAAACTGGAAAAGCGACATGTAATCATAAAACACCCACACGGCTCTGTTTGCAGCAGCATACAGGCCAACAGCATTCCAAATTTGCTGCAGTTGGAACCTGCATGGGTCGGGGTGTTCTCGAGTTTCCCAAGCATGGGAGATCGAGACAATCAATGCGTGCTGACGTCCTTGCGCCCACTCTTGCACTTCCTCATGAGGGACTAAAGCGGAGCAGACTCCATGATTCAAAGAGCTGCAGGTTTCGCTCGGGACTTCAGCTTCTTGTCGCCGCTTCAGTGGGCGCTTCTCCTGCAGTAGTTTGAGGAAGTACCTGGCAGTTTCAATCTCAGGCTCCTGCCCTAAAACTAAACAAGGAAGTACCTGTTTCAATCTCAGGCTCATGCCTACCGCTAAACGGCTAGCGGGCACTCGGCCCGCACGAGGCGGATGTCCGCGTCCTGCAGAAACTGTGCCAATGCCTCGGGCTTGTCGAGCTCATAGACCTTGCGCTGTGTCAAAGAACATCCCCCAGGACCATCCCCCTTCAGGGCGGACCAGCCCCTTGTGGTTTAGGGTTAACGGTGTAGAGTTTAGCGTTTAGGGTTTAGGGCCCAGTTAAAGACTCGCCAAATTTTGGTTCCGGCTGTTTTTTTTTGCTGGTAGGACGTACAAATGGTACCATCTGGACATGCCCAAGCCCTACACGCTCAACATCCCGCACCTGCGAAAGCCCCCCACCTTTCCGGAAGTGTTCTTCTCGTCTTTCGCCCCCTCTGTACCAAGCACACACAACTCAACCGTTCCGAAACCCGGTCAGGCAGAACCAGTCATAAGCTTGTAATAAGGATTCTAACGCTGAATCCGAAACCCTAAACCCTGAACCCCAAACTTTGTCCATAACTGTGCTTGTTGCTTGAACAACATCTGGTCCTCTTCAGTTTGCTTCACGAACAATTGAAATCAACCTCCCCTCCAAAAAAAAAACTGACCAACCCCCGATACACAAAGAGTGAGCGGCGCCCTCCGCCTTTTGCCAGGTTACGGCCAAACACAGCAAACCCTAAACTCCCCCGATTCCCGCGAGCCACCCGTTTACAGTGGAGATTAGGGTTTATGGGGCTTCTTAGGGTTTAGGGTCTAGGCTTTAGGGTTTAGGGTCTAGGCTTTAGGGTTTAGGGGTGCTTATTACACTGGAAGGCACTGCCTGTCCTTGTTGCTGGGTTCTGTTCTCTTCCACACCTTCGGGCTTGCGTTCTTTGTCATTGTATTCTTCCCAACCCCTAAAGCTTCAACCTCTTTCCGCGAGTCCTTGTCGTTGCTGTGCTTGTCTTCCCTCTTCTTCGCTTCAGCATGCTTGGCTTCAGCGGCACTGGCGCAGCAGCCCATGGCACGGAGCTACTTGGGTTAATCTTTTAGAAGGGAACCCAAAAGCAAGAAGAAACGGGGAATTTCAGGGTTGTTTAAAATGAAAGGGGGGAGTTGTTAGGATTGTTGAAAAGGGTTTTTGACGTTGTATAAGGCTTTGTTGAGCTACTGACTAAAGTACGAAGAGATATAGGCCGTGGGTTTTTCCGCTTTGGATTTTGGTCGGGTCCTATCAAGGTTGAGAGCATTACAACCCTGCAATGCTACAACGGGGTCAAACGTGTTCCATGGAGTAGATCGAGTTCAGGTGTCAATGAATGCGTTGAAAACACAGATGCAAAGAGTACTATCCGGAATCTGAGTATAAGGAATATTTGCATGTGTATACAGTGCACACACACACACCTGTATGACATTGTATGACCATCATGCGCCCGATTACGCAGAAGTGTATATAGATCTTATCGATGTATGTTTGCACAGAGTTTCAAGTGCCAACTTCTCAGCAGATCTTGTTGCAACACTGGCGCGCCACGCACGACGAGTTGGAGACCTCTGCCGCTCGATGCATGAAGGCTGCCTCTGAGACTTGCGACTGCCGCTGAGGTGCAAAAGTATGCAGCTGAGAGGGCCAATGGCTATGGGGTCCAGAGCTTCTCACTTAGATTTGGGCGTGGGACGTGGGAGAAGACCTGCGGAGTCGGACTTGCTATGAGAAGACTTGCACAGGATGAAAGGGAACGAGAAATCATAGATGGGCGGCCATTCGCTGATTTCTGTTGAAGTCGAGACAATTTGCCCAGGTGAGGGATGCCTTGATGTTCCAACATGTTTTGTCAGCTTTCAGCTCTGCCAAGGTGATCCAACACCAGCTGCAGCTACAGATGACTTGGTGCTGCGGAGCGTGGGCGAAGAATGTGCCTTGACGGGGTTGCAGTTTGGACCAGGGGGGTGGGATACCACAAGTTGGAGGTTTAGCAACACAAACATTTGAGGAGAACTCGGTATCCAACAAACCATGGAGGTTGGTGAATCACTATGTCACAAAGATCCAAGGACTAAACTCATGGGAGGCCTAGGCGGATTCGATTCAATGGAAGACCAACTGGGGCTTGACCCACAATCTTCACAGGACGTAGCCAAAAGTTTAACCCTCATCTTAAACTCCACACCTAAAGCCTAACCCGAAACTGACCTCAGCCAGAGCCCTGGAATGGCCTTCCTGATGTCGAGGAGCGCCACCGGGCCTCTTTGGTAGGAACCGGGAATATCCCTCTTAATGTCCCCTACAGTAGTCCCCTATATAATCCCTATTATAACCCCCCCATTACGGAGTTTAGACTATAGCTCAAAGGTTATACTCAGTACTATAGTTCA